GCCGTCTCGAGGACCAGCCTAGACCCGGCTCACTGAGTTAAAATTTTTTATACATGAGGCCCATAACCGGCCTAGTCAAACTACGAGCTTGGTTATGAACCTGTTGACCATGGGCCGGTTTGGGTCGAATCGGACCGGCGCGCCATGTCTAGTACTCTAAACCCGTAAGACGTAAACATGAACGTGCATACAATGCATCCACTTTGATTCACTAAAAAATATGCACCTCTACTTTGGTTATATTCACTAAAAATAAGGTCATTTCTATTGGATTAATAGTCTAAGTGAGATCAATTCCCAACTATGAGAATTATTTGTAAACTAATAAAAATTACGATTATATTAAAATATGATTCTATTAAAAAATATTTTGTCATTATTAAATATGATTATGATTTTATTATTAAAATTATATTAAAAATAAGTGTATATTATAAAATAACAATTCTTTATCCTTTTAAAGATTTGTTGCATGGTTGATGTTATGTTGATTATTGTAAGATATGTGGGAAAGTAGTTTGGGTGATATGTGGAAAAAATCAAATTATTGAGAAAGTTTTCACGTTGGACGTTTTTGGGTACATTAAGCTTTCCTTAAAGAAGTTTGTTGTTGTCCTTAGCTTTCTTCTGGGACGTTTGTTTGGATTCAAAGCTTAACTATCAGACGTTTCATAGGGACTTAAGCTTCCTTTTAGGATGTTTATTTGACTCCCAAAGCTTAGCTCTATGACGTTTGTTTTCACAATGGAGCTTCCATGTCAGACGTTTGCTTGGCTACAAAGTATAGCTTCTGGACATTTGCTTTCATAGGCAAACTCAAATGAAGAACATTTGGTATGATTTAAAGCTTAACTCTTGGACGTTTCACATTGCCTCAAGCTTTCGAGTTAGATGTTTACTTGACATCCAAGCTTAGCTCATGGACGTTTGTTTTCACAGTGGAACTTCTATGTTGGACGTTTGTCTGGCTTTCAAGCTTAGCTTCTGGACGTTTGCTTTCATAGGCAAACAATAATGAAGGACGTTTGTTATGCTTTAAAGCTTAACTCTTGGACATTTCACATGACCTCAAGCTTTCTAGTTAGACGTTTAACGATAAAATAAGCTTGCAATTTAAATGTTTTAAATGTGTTGCACCTTCTTATTTAGACTTTTCTCTTCAGAGTCGGGCTTCGCATTTGGACTTTTCCTTGGCTTCCAAGCTTAGCACTTGGACGTTTGTTTTTACAGTTAGGCTTTTGCATGATGTTTCTTTGGCTGCCAAGCTTACCTTCTAGATGTTTATTTGACTTCTGAGCTTAGTTGATAGACATTTGAATGCATTTTTTTAGTACTTTTTTTTTTGAAAATTTATTATTTTTTATTATTATTTTTTTACGACAAATTGCAATCCTAATTCTAAATGGAGGCAATGACGTGAATTAGGGTTGTTCAATCGGTCAAAACCGAACCGAACCGACCGAAATTTTGGTTTACCCAACCTTCAAACCGAAAACCGAACCGAAATTTATGGTTCGGTTCGGTTTTTAACCGAAAATTTATCGGTTGGATCGGGTCAATTATCGGTTATCCGAAAAAAGGAAAAAACAAATCATTAGTGACAATTTCAGCAAAATTTTAGCTAATTGCAACTCTAATTTCAACAATCCAGAGCCCTAATTAACATAAAAAAAATAAAAAAAATCAAGAGATAAAAGACGAAAGAGAGAAAAGCGATTTCAGCCTTGAGAGAATGAATTGATTCAATTGATTGCAAGTCATAGGAGGGAATTTAGCTAACAAACTTATTTGAGAAGACGAGCTTTGTCGAGAGTGGAGTGAAGTGTGAGCGAGAGTGGGCGCGGCGGCAATTTGGGGCTTCAGATTACCGAGAGTGGCGATCGGAGATTTCGAATGCAAAATTGCGTGAGGCGGAGTTGATGTTAGGGTTCACTAGTTTATGATTTTTTGTTTAGGACTTAGGATCAGTGGTTTAGACTTTGCATGTGGCTTAGAATGTCTGAAGAATGTAAATAATGAATCATGGACGATGAGGAGAAAACTAAGAATGGCTACTAATAATTGGTAATTTATTGGTTGGGCCTGCCTTATTTCAATACTTGCCTCTCTTTTGTTGGGTTGGGCTTCAACACTTTTTAATATAATGGGCTTAAAAATTAAAAACATGGACTTAGATAATATATGGAAAAAATGACGCCCCTTAACCATCTCCATACACATTTTACATTTAAACCCTTGGTAACTATTTAGACAATTACACTCCATTTCATTTTCATTTATACCCTTTTTTCAAATTTTTAATTATTTATTGTAACCGGTATTTCAATTTCTTTTCCACAATCTTTCTCCCTGTTTCTTATTTCCTTCTTCTCTCTTCTTCTTCTTTCCTGGCACAACAATATTTCTCCTTTTTGTTTTCTCTCCTTTTTTTTTCTTCTTCTTCTAAATTCAGGCGATATACTCTATAAAAAAAATTGTTATTTTTCTTTTTTTTTTTTTTGTTATTATTGTTATTCCCAACTATAAAATTAAGGTTTTTGTAGATCTCTTATATCTCTTTCTTACGAATTTAAAGTTGAAATTCAAAAAATCAAAACATCTTTTACTACTAAGGTCGGAACCGCTCTCGACTCGCGATCGTTGTGGAGGGACTAAAGCCCCAACCTAAGCTGTGAACTTCAGAAGGAGATGATTGAATGATTAGCAAAAAATTGGTACATTAATATAATTGTATATAATTCTTGTAGTATTC